AATCAATCGAGTCAATTATGACATGAATGGAGCAGATTCCTTTTGACGATACTAGATATTTTACTTACGCCTCTTACTCCCAATGGAGCATAGGCCGCCGGCTAGCATTCTCCGACCCACTCTGTCCTGAGCATTCCTTTCTATTTCTATCAAATTGTGGTTCATTCTGCTCATGTCTGTCTCCATTTCTCGGCGTAATGTGTTCTTTGGTTTTCCTCTTTTCCTTTTGCCTTGACGATTCCAGGATACTAGATATCATTTATCCCTTAATACATTCCATGAGGTTAAGAATAGTGTTCTACCAACATCAGTATTCAAAGAATAAACCAAGTAACAAAAACTTAAAATGACTACAAGTCTATGAAATATCTTTACTGACTTAAAATGCATACAGTTTTTCTACTTAAGAACGATATTCAACAACACTGTTTAACGACTTACTTCTAGTGTTCATCCATGAAAAAGCTTTATCAATATACGAGAATATTAACTATGAATCACCAATAAGTCATGATATTTCCAAAGTATCAATTTATGAAACTAACTATGAAAGCAATAAATTTAATCTTGTACGAAAGGATTCGTTAGTTTAAATCTGAAGGGGTTAATGGATGAGAAATATTGAATTGACTTCGAAAAAACAATGGCAATTAGCATCATTCTACATTGAAGTCAGGTGACCAACTTAAACAGTCACCTAATTGAATATAAAGTCAGTATATATTGAACATCAATGAGGAATTATTCAACAAACAAGTGATATTAGTTATTCAGTCTAAAAATGTTCAGAGTGGAGCTATTCAATGTCGGGTAGAGACAGATATGTACTTCAGTACAATGGAAGATGATCACTCAATTTTGTGGATTGGTTGAGATTAGACATTAACATCGTTAGATGCCGGCCAACTCAGTGGTCTTGAAATTAAGCGTTCACAAGAGAGACTGAAGGCTCTGGGTTTGAGTCCCACGAGCGGGATTGTGGATGGACACTTCTGAAGAGTCCCATGATGGGACGAAACAGCCATCCAGTGCATTCAGGTTTTCAATGGTGATCTAACATCAATCAATTCATGATCTCAATAAAAAATACTTATGTTGACAGATCAGCGATTATCATTAAGAAGTCTTGGTTCAATTGAGTATTTTGCTTTTTGATACTTCTTATAAAATTTAAAAAAAAGACATTTAAAGTAATTTGTAGTTTTTTTAAGGGTTCAACTCAAAGACATTGGGATCAAATTATACTTATCTATACTAACAGATCAAAAACTAAGTAGACTAATTTTCAACTAAGAACCAATTCAATATCATAAACATATACCTATTGCATTAGTTCACATCTATTTTGAATTCTGAGGGGAGCATGGAGAGAACCATGAGAAAAAAAATGAGTCAATAACCCAGTAATCACATAGAATGTACTTTTATTTGATAATTGAAGGAGTCGACAACAATCTGTAATAGTATGTAACTAAGACAATTCAACAATCACAGAATAAAAGTAGTGCCATGAGATTTTGAATCTTATAGCAATTCACGTGCAATTGCGTTTGTTCTCATTTAACTCAGCTAAACCCTTTTGTTAACTTATTTAGTGGACAAAGTCATCCGTACTATAACAACGTAATTTTTTTTAAAAATTACGCCTGTTACTCCCAATGGAGCATAGGCCGCCGCCCAGCATTCTCCAACCCACTCTGTCCTGGGCCTTCTTTTCTAGTTCCATTCAATTCTTGTTCATTTTTCTCATGTCTATCTCCATTTCCCGGCGTAATGTGTTCTTTGGTCTTCCGCTTTTCCTTTGACCTTCAGGATCCCATGTGAGGGCTTGTCTTGTGACGCAGTTGGGTGCTTTCCTCAATGTGTGTCCTATCCACTTCCAGCGCTTCTTCCTGATTTCTTCCTCCACTGGGATCTGGTTTGTTCTCTCCCACAGTACATTGTTGCTAATAGTGTCCGGCCAATGGATCTGAAGTATTTTGCGTAGACAATTGTTAATAAACACCTGTATTTTCTGGATAATGGCTTTCGTAGTTCTCCAGGTTTCTGCCCCATAACTATAACAACGTATTGTGCCTTTATTATTGTTGTGCATGTATGAAATATGTATGCTTGAACATTTGCTTACCGCCTATGCATATATTCATTCTGCTAGCTTTATTATTAACTGCTTAATTGATTCGATGATCCATTCATTTCCCTATATATATATATATATATATATATATATATATATATATATATATATATATATATATATATATATATATATATATATATATATATATATATATATACATTTAAACCCACACACTACCCTACTCTTTCGAGTCGCTGACTCAATCAGTTTCCCCTCTGCTTTGTTGTCGTTGCTTCTCTTTGCCTTCTGATTTCAAACACCGTTGAGGATTATATGATAAAGGTTAGGAGTGTGATTGGTCGGCGAAGCACAGCCACTACAATCTGTTACAATATATATGCATATAGGTTGATCAGTTTGAAATTCACGCACATCTATTTTCAAGACAGTACAGATGGTATAATCCATTGTCTGTCAACAATAACAGTATTATGTCATGATATATCATGTTGTAGATTCATCATGAACATGGTTACACAATACCCACATCATTCAAAATGTAGAGAATATGTTTCAGATGATGTAATACAAAACGAACTGATCCCTCTTTATTGTTTCATATTGGATAATAAAGTAATCAAATTTTAATCCATAACAGATTGATATTATTGAAAGTCTAAAGATCTATTTGTCAGGTTGATATATAGAGCTGAAAGTTAATTAACTAAACACCAGTTGATCTTTCATTTGTGTTTATTACCAAATACTTACAGTATCTAAAGACATTTACTCATATTTCATAAAATGCGCCGATGCAGACATAAAGGCAAGAATTGATAAAACAATGTCTGTATTCCTACAAGTGAAGAATATCTGAAACTCAAAACAACTGTCAAACTAGATCAAAGTCAATATAATCAATATAAATGTCAAGACAGTTAGTTATATTGTAGAGAACTGAAACTCTGAGAACTACGACAACCATCATCAAAAAGATACAAGTATTTATAAACAATTGTCTATATGAGATACTCAATATCGGTTGTTGGTCAGATATCATCAAGAATAACCTACTGTAGGAGAGAACAAACCAACTTCTAACTGAGGAGGGACTTAGAAAAATGTGAATAGAACAGACATTGAGGAAATCACCAAATTTTATCACGAGACAAGCACTAACTTGGAATCCTAAAGAGAAACGGAAGAGATGAAGGTCAAAGGACACACTGTGTCAGGAATTGGAATCAAACATGAGAACAATAAATAGTAACTGAAAACACCTGTTAAGGATTGTCTATGAGAAATTTGGATGAAGAATGTTGGTGGGTGATTTGGGCTTCTCTATGAAGGGTAACAGCGGTAAGTGAGTAAGTAATAATCACACTTATATAATGTGTTGTGTCTTTAAGTCCGACTCGTTATCACGTAATTTATTCGCCAATCAAAATACAACTTATTCGCCGTTGTACTGACTAACTAATACTTTTCGTCCGCTCTAACCAGCCTAGCGTTTTATTGGTCCGTTGCTCACCCAGCCCGTTCAGCTGAGTTCACAACGTCAATAACAGCCTTTACTGTACGAATCATTTATTTCAGATATTCTTGGTTTATATACCAGCTAAGTAGACTGCAACGCATCATAAAATAGGAAATAACATTCATACACAATAAAGCCAAAAAGTGTCTGTGAACGTGGGAGACGTTAATTAATAAACTGAGTATAATTTGAGAACAGTAAATCGTATAATAATAATAATCTATAGATGGAAATTAAACGTATAATAATAGGAATGTAGTTATACACAGCCTAGTTACTGAATATTTATACCATAAGTATACACAGATAATATTACTCCATTAATAGGTCTCAGAAGTTACTTGTAATGTAATCTTCGCTATGATATAACATACAATATACCCTTTGTGGGTCAGGGTAATTTTTACATTGGTTTTCAGTAGAACCAGAGATTAACCAGATTTTTATGTAACAACTCAAACAGTACAGATCAATCCTGTTTCCTGGAGAACTAAACACCGCTCAGATTTAAATTTTATAACCTGAATAGTACAGCTCAATCTCACTTCATAGGAATGTACCAGATATTGTATAAGTTTTAACGCTAAAATCTCAATAGTACAACTCAATACTGTGTCGCAATCATTCAGGTATCAAGCACAAATATTATATTATATAGATCACAACAGAATATTGAAACTTATTCACACGATTGATTTCACTAGATCTAATTTCAATTTTATAATAAGTATATTTCACTGGTTGAAATCATGAGTCAATTGAAGCTAGACCACCTTGGAAAACCTGGAAGCAGTGAACGGCCATTTCTTCCTAGTATGGGACTTCTCTCCAGCAGTGAGCACCTACGATCCCGCCCCCCGCGAGATTCGAACCCAGAATCTACCAGTCTCACGCCAGGCGCTTAACCGACTAGACCATCCAGTGCTTCCAGATTTTTTTATAGTTGTCTAGCTCCAACTGATTCATGATCTTAACCAATGAAATTTTTTGAAATCTCCACAAAACCCATTCTGATAATAAATCAATTTATAATATTATTTACTTTCATTTGATTGGTTAATTATAATTAACCAATCAAATCTTTCCACAATTTGTAATTGAATAATCAATTCATTTGATCATCATCATCATCATCATCATCATCATTGATCATCATTATGTCTATGATTCGTTTCAATTACTGATTACAAATGATCTCATTTTTAAATTTACTAATAAATCAATTATTATTTTGAGTAGATTTCATAATCGTCACTATTTATTGATCGATAAATTGATCGATTGATTGATTGATTTATGAATCGATTAATTAATTATAATGAACTATGATTAATTATCAGTACATGATTTCATTTATTAAAACACACACACACATATATATATATAACATTGAATCAATCCAGTATGAATCTGTTCAATCTATTCAATTATCAATATATAAATATATATTGAATATATAATTTATAATAAATAGATGTCTGTTACTAATTGATATGTCCCCCTCTCTCTCTCCTCCCTCCCTCTCTCTCTCTCGCCATAGATACAAATATTATTCAATGAAATAAATAGAAAAAAAACTTTTTTTGTTGTTGTTTAAATACATCAATCATTGAATAATAATAAAAAAAAAGACAAGTAAAATTAAATTATTTTAATAAATTAAAACAAACTTATAATATAAAGGGAAAGGATTTATATTATTGATTTCAACAATTGGATATTGATCAAAAGAGAAAAGAAAAAAAAAGGAGAAAGATATTTCGGTAAGGAGTATATTTTATTTTTGGTTTTGGTTTTGTTTATTAAAATACTTATTTATGTTTGTGATTCTTCATGGAGGAGCATACATAGGCTATTTAACGGTATTCTTGATCTAATCTTATCCTGAATAATCTTTTCTAGTTGTTATTCATCTTTTTTTTTTTGATATCTGTTTGTATTTCCTAATGTAATGTGTTGTTTAGCTTTCCTGTTTTCTGCTTCCCTTAAGGCTTGTTTCATGATGTAGTTTGATGATTTACATAATGTATATCTTATCCACTTTCAATGCTTTTTCCTAAGTACCTCCTCAGTTAGAGAAGTTGGTTTGTTCTCTCCTACAGTAGATTGTTGTTGATGATATCTGACCAACAACCGATATTGAGTATCTCATATAGACAATGGTTTATAAATACTTGTATTTTTTTTATGATGGTTGTTGTAGTTCTCGAAGTTTCAGTTCTCTACAATATAACTAACTGTCTTAACATTTATATTGATTATATTGACATTGATCTAGTTTGACAGTTGTTTTGAGTTCCAAATATTCTTCACTTGTAGGAGTACAGACATTGTTTTATTAATCCTTGCCTTTACTTCTGCATTTAATCCTTGTTCATCGATGATGCCTTTAATTTGTTTCATCTGATTGGCGTTTTTTTTTAGCAAGTTTTTTGTCTACAGGATGTGATCACCAACTTCATGTCCAACCTACACTTTTTACCCGGGCTTAGAACCGGCAGTAACTCTAGAAGAGCTACTGATGGAGTTGTTTATTAAAATAGTACAGTCTAATTCATTGATTATTATATAAAATCGATAGTACATAAGAATGATAATTTTGTTAAATATTAAAGGTTTATAATCTTTCCAATCTGTATTCATCTTTCGTAAGTTAATCATCTTTATAAGTGCACTTCAGGACCAAGTAGTAGTTGTTTGTTTTTTAATGTTTAAGTTTACATTAAAGATACTTCGAAGTTTAATTAACGTCAATTTTTTGAATGAATTAAACAGTTATGTTAGATTTTACACTGAAATACTATTGTCAATATAAATTAGGAGATAGATGGATCTGATCTACATGATATTGTTTATTAGCCAGTGATCAATTAATTATAAATACATCTCAGTAGTTCTACGGGAGGTCAGTTGTCGACCGGATAGCTCAGTGTTGATGTGAAGCTGAGTAACACGAGATCGAATCTGTTAGGGAGTATCAGTTCTTTCAAGAATAATATAGATACACTTTACTGACGAGTACCAAATAGCACGAAACCTAGGTTCAGGGTTTCCTGTTGACTGCCTCCAACCAATGGTTGAAGACTCTGGGTGACATGGCTCAGAATCGATTACAATGGCATTGGTGTATATAGTTTCTGTCTTCCTTTAAACTATGAGGTTAAAATCACTTCATTTCTTTCTTTCTATCAACTAATTATTTCTTCATGTACTATATCCTTATATGCAAACTTTTTTTCATATATTACCACAAGGGAATTAACTACTTCTATGAATCCAATGTTTATCTTGCTGTGCTAATGAGCTATGGCTACTTGGACTAATGCATATATGTGCCAGGTTCTACATTGTAGCTGACTGATTGACTGACCTTCAACTACCATCTTATCTCAACATAGTGCGCGTAATGTCTAGTCACCTAGACAACTGGCTACATTACAGTTTGGTCGATAGGATTCGATCTATGTTAAGAAGGACTTGACATACATGATATTTGATCACCACCCAGTGATCAATTAATTGTGAACGTGTGCTTATATGTATATTATTTATTGTTAATTAATGACTAGTAGAGAATAGATCTTAATCAAAAACAATCTTAAAAAAATTTTTTTGTTTGATGGTATAAAATTAAATTTGATCCTTTATGTATATATAACACAAAGAAATGAATAATAATAATGAAGATATGAAGCTTTATTCTTCAAATACAACTATGTGTTATTCAGAGTAAGTATTTCTTTGATTATGAATAAGTGTGATCTTGGAAATTTAATTGCTGAATAAGTACTTTCGTGAGACTATAATTTATGAATAAACTTTGAGCGACGTTAAAGTGATCTTGAGAATGTTCACCTACTAACTAGGACCAAATGAGGGTTATAAACCAGTGTGTGTGGAATTAAAATTATGATTTTGTGACGACGGACCACCGGTGAACTCGAGGAAGCTGTAAGAGGCTCAGAAGGAGCCGAAGACGTCCCATCCAATCACTTTTCGGAAGAATGTTCTAGAATTCCAACGTGTAGCTTCCCGATTGGATAATGCTAATAACCCCCTGTATGCGGATTGGAAGACTGTAATGATGATTTCGTTCTCACTAAAAACTATAAATACCTGACAATTTTGTACTATGATTGACACTGTTTGGAATAATATTCCTTTCGTTAGTCTTCTGTCTTCTTATTGCGACTTGGAAGGGTTTTGGTGTTCTAGTGCTCTGTTATACGCGGTATATCTAGAAAAACCAGCTTTTCAAGATATAACAGATATAACAGTTGATGGTCAGGGTTAAGAATTACATTGAGAGTTTTCATCATGAACTGACATCAGCTATAATGCGAAAACTCTATTCAGCCAAATGGATGAATGAAGTTCGCGCGAAAATCTGAGATCTGTTATCTTATACTTGATTGGTTCATTCATAAATTATGATCTCGCCGAATTATTCACATCCGGTTATTTGAAAATCCTTAGTACATTACATCTATTATTATTATATCATATCTTTATTTTTGTTCGATATCATTATCTCTTCTTAAATTGTTCTATCGTTTTGCAACACAAATGAATACACTTTGTGTAATATTACATAAGTATTGATTTCTTCATTCTTCAAATGATAAACTCAAAGTTGAGTTCATGAGTCAATTGGAACTAGAGCACTATGGAAGATGTGGAAGCACTCGACAACCATTTCGTCCCATTTTAGGACTCCTTAACAGTGCACATCCACGATCCCGGCTCGCGGGATTCAAACCCAAGATCTATGAGCCTCGTGCGCGAGCGCTTAACCACTAGACCACTGACACATCCAACATTGTCTTCAGTGAGTTACTATTTCACAAAAGACCTGGTTGAACTCCACTGGTCACTGCTCACTAGAACTCCAGGATATACATCTATAAGCCAGTCACTAGTGAGCATATGTTATTATTACAAACTTTGAAAATAATTTCCCTATAATTAAACTAGCTGACATTATTGTAGTGAATTATATATGTGGTTATATGATTAGACTATCACATATTCTCATGAAACCTCTTGGATGTTTACATTCACGAGTTACATAATCTTTACTTAAAGCTAGATGTTTATAACATTAGTTACAAATCCATTTTAAATGTGCGAATACATGTTCATTATCTATCCTGATCTAGATGCTTAACAAATGATTGTATACAAACCTTTGTATTGTATATTAAATATATTAGAATGTCATTTGAATCATACTTTATCAATTTCGATAATGTAAATAGAAGACGAAGATGATCAGAACTATGTGATAATAGATTAGCGCAATACATTTCGAACAATCTGATCACACATTACATACTTGTTAAGAGCATTATATATAAAAAATAAAAGGTCAACTAGACTGGGAACGGGGTAAGAGGAGATAAGGATAGTAATAAGAGTAATAATAATGTGAACACAAAGCGAAACCTAATCACTCTGGATAATAAGTCAATATTACCAGGGTAGGTTTAAGGTAAGAACAAAGTGTTTTTGAACACACAAAGGGGATTTGAATTTTCGTATGGTTAAGGCTTCAATAAATCTTAGTATGCGCCTTTTTACACCTTTATACAACACCACAAAAGCCGAGTTATGATCAATCTTGTGGCCTGTTTCAATTATATGTTTAGCAATAGAGGATGATGGATGTTTATCCTCTGCTCTTATCGGGTCACTTGATTGTATTTGTTTCTGCATCCGTTTGGGTACATGTTCACTCACCCTACTGTTGAGATCACGATTACTCCTCTACATGTATGTGTGACCACACACACATTTTAATTGGTAAACACAGTGGGATGTGACGCAATCGTTTCCATGTACTTTAGGTTTTGAATGAAGCATGCACCTTGTTATTTCTTTGATGATGACCTTTGCTGCGCAATACGTTTTATTGATGACTGATTTAAGTCGTTGTTTCAATAAAAGTCTGTTTGAATCACCTCTAAATGGTAAGGTGATGAAGATAGGATTTTTCTCTGCCAAAGCTATAAAAGGTCTCACTGTACCATGAACTTTCCATCTATTTATGAATTTCAGAGGTTAGCCATTTTCCATTAATCTTTTATTTAGCAACCTAACATTATCATCAATGGGGTCATTTGTACAAATACGATGGAGTCTGTTGAAAAGACACCTTATTAAACCACGTTTGTATTGCACAGGGCAATAACTATAATAACTAAGATATAGACCTGTCCAAGTTGGTTTTCTAAAAATAGATCGCTTGACTGAGCCATCTTCTAGTCTACTCAGAAGTATATCTAGGAAGGCAAACTGATCGTTCTTCTCCTCTTCACATGAGAGACTAATATAGTTTTGGAGAGTGTTAAGTTTATTTAGTAAACAGTACACATCCTCTTTTCTCTCACAAACAACTCAGATATCGTCCACATATCTCTTATAAAGTGATATGTTTTCGACTAGGTCATCAGTCTGACTTTCAACATGTGCCATGAACACATCTGCTAATAATGGTCCTAGCGGACTACCCATAGCAACTCCATCAATCTGACGAAAGTACTCACCTTCAAAAGTGAACTGAACTTTGTCAGTACATAATAACAGTAAATCTTTAAGAGTTTTTACAGGGACAGGTGATTGAAGATTGTTTACAGATATGTAATCACATAAAAATATCGATGGTTTTTTTCAAAGGTACATTTGTAAACAAGGAATTCACATCAAATGAACACATTGTTTTTCCTTGATATTAATATCACCTAAATGATCGACCAGTTCAAAA